ATATTATAAACATGTGACCATAACCTTTGTTTAATAATAGGGTCATAATATGAGGAGACTTTGAATATTTTTTTTATTCAGATGCAATTTTCATACCATAAATTCATCCTTTGAAAGTATATAAGTTAGAGCCGGCCGAGTGGCTCAGTTGGTTAAGAGCTCGCTCAAGAGTGCGAGCTCTGAGCAACAGTGGTTTGATTCCCGGCCGGAGCTGAGCAGCCGCTGAGCTGCCAACAGGTGGCAGGATGGCTCAGCTAAAAAAAAAAATAAAAAATAAATATATATATATATATATATATATATATATATATATGTTAGTGAGGTTTAGCATATTTATAATATAGTGTAACCATCACCATTGTCTAATTCAAGACATTTTCATCACCCCAAAAAGAAACCCTGTACCCTTTAGCATTCACTCCCCATTCCTATTTCCCATCCCCACCCCTCAGCCCCTGGCAACAACTAATCTACTAATCTATTTCATGTCTCAATAGATTTTCCTATTCTGAATATTTCCTATCAGTGGACTCATACAATATGTGATCTTTGTAGCTGTTTTCATTAACTTAATATAACATTGTTAAGGTTCATCCATGTTGTAGCATATATCAGTACTTCATTTCTTTTTATGGTTAAATGGTATCCCATTATATGAATATACCATATTTTGTTTATCCATTCATCAGTTGATGGATAGTTGGGTTCTTTCCACTTTGGCTATTACAAATAATATTCTATAAATGACTGTACAAGTTTTTGTGGGGACATTTGTTTTCAGTTCTCTTGGGAATATACCTAGGAATGGAACAGTTACATCATGTGGTAACTCTATGTTCAACTTTTTGAGGAACTCTCAAACTCTTTTTCAAAGTAGCTGCATTATTTTTTATTCCCATCAACAATAGGTGAGGGTTTCAATTTCTCCACATCCTCACTAACACTTGTTATTTTTCTGTCTTTTTAATTATAGCCATTATAGGTAATAGGTATGAAGTGGTATCTCATTGTGGTTTTGGTTTGCATATCCCTAATGACGAATGGTGTTAAGCATCTTTTTCTATGCTTATTTAGCCATTTAAATATCTTCTTTGGAGAAATGTCTATACAAATCCTTTACCCATTTTTAAATTGGGCAACTTAATTTGTGTTTTTATTGTTGATTGCAAAAATTCCTTATATATTCTGGACACAAGTCCCTTATGAGAGTTGCAAATCATCAGATTTTTCTCCCGTTTCTGTGGGTTGTCTTTTCACTTTCTTGATGGTGTCCCTTGAAGCCCCGAAGTTTTTAATTTTTATTAAGTACAACTTATGTATTTTTTTCTTTGGTTGCTTAAGATTTTGGTGCCTTATCCAAGAAACCATTGCCTAATCTAAGTCACAAAGATTTGCCCCAATGTTTTCTTCTAAGAGTTTTACAGTTTTAGTTCATATATTTAAGTCTTTGATCTATTCTGAGCTAATTTTTTTCTATAGTGTGAGGGTGACTGAATTTTGCCTGTCAAGTGAAGAGAGGATAGAATGCATCATATCAAACTGGAGATGAAGGAATGAACAGTGGTGGAAGTATGTTCTGGGAAGCAAACTATGGTGACACAGGCAAACCTGGAGAACAAAGTAAGGACATTTTATTTTATAGAGAAAAGGGAGAAAGTTTAAGGTGGCGGTAGCTTCTCATTGAGCTGTTGCTGGCCAGAGCCTAAGGCATGCAGAGAGTATGTTGGGAGTTACAAAGAATAACAGTATCCACATGGTGAAGGGCAGGAACTTTGTTTCCCCCATAGTTTCCATCCGCCATTCCCCAACCTCACCAAGCAAAGGTAAATGTAAGCAAAAAACAATGCACTGGCTAGAAACATAGCTTTGGACAACCCTCCAATCTTCCTGGTCTCCCCAGCCAACCAGATTGCCTCTCCTTAAGCCCTCCAATGTAGAAATTCTAGAGCTTTTATTGCTGAAAATATTCAATGGGTGGGAGTAGGTTTTTTTGTAGGCTACTGGAAGTTATTAATGGCTCTTAAGCAGGGTGGCAACATGGGACTTGGGTTTTAGGAAGGTATAGTAGTGAAATGTGTCACAGTTCTCAACGTTTTTTCTAGCGCATAAATTGAAGTCACATGCATAATACACAATAGGCTACCACACCGATCAGCTGCACATATGCATAGTTTTGGGGGCCCTAGGTGCAGGAAACCATGAATTACAAAACATAAAGTAAAATCAACAAGATTGGTAATTGATTGGGTGTAGGTAGATAAGGTTTCTTGGTTTCAGGATTGGATACCTGGATGAGTCCTGAGGCCAGTTATGAGGATGGGGAGCATGGATAAAGAACAGGTTTATTGTGGAAAAGGAGGGGAATAGATGTAGATAATTTTGAACATGTTGAGTTGGACGTGCCAGTGGGACACCCAAGCAATTACATCTAGCAAGTATGTAGTTAGTGTGACCCTGGAAGTCAGGAGATCTGGAATGAAGATGTAAATTTGGGAACTGTCAATTTATAAATGTAAAAAGATGAGCTCACTCAGCAAGCATGAGAAGGTAAGCTAGGTTCCAGGCCTGGGAGAGGGAGGAAAGAACAGAAATAAGAATTTAACTCCCTAGCAGCAACTTTGTACTTAAGTAGATATTTCATAGCCTTCCTTTGAAGCCACTGTGGTGCTTCAACACAGCCTCTGGGTGGTGCTTCCCCTTCTCTCCTGCTTCCCCTTCCTGTGTTGCCAAGGTTTCTCACCATTTGTTCACGCAGCTCACCAGACACCCTGCCTGGGCTCTGCCTTCATCTATCTAACTGTTCATTCATGGAGCCATTTACTGAGCAGCTGCCCTATGCCAGGCACTGTACTCGGTCCTGACCATTACAGTAGTGACCAAAACAATGTCACTGCCTCAAAACATTTACATTCTAGTGAAGGAGACAGAGTCATACAAATAATTAAATAGACATATCAGGAGAGATAAAGGCCTTGAAGAAAAAGCAAGCAGAGTAAGGAGAATAATGCAGGTGTTCTTATTTTAAATAGCATAGCAAGGAAAGTCATCTCTTGAGGTGACATTTGAACAGAGATCTGAATGAATTGTGAAAGTTTGGGGTAAAGAAGAGGTGGCTGGGGCCGGCCGGGTGGCGCAGTTGGTTAGAGCTCTGAGCAACAGGATCGCGGGTTTGATTCCCACATGGGCCAGTAAGCTGGGCCCAAGCTGAGCTGCTACTGAGCTGCCAAAGGGTGACCGGATGGCTCAGTTGGTGAGAATGCAAGCTCTTAACAACAAGGTTGCCGGTTTGACTACCACATGGAATGGTGGGCTGCGTCCCCCCAGCCCCCAACTAGATTGAAAAGCAGCGACTGAACTTGGAGCTGAGCTTGCGCCCTCCACAACTAAGACTGAAGGACAACAACTTGACTGGGGGCTGGTGGGTCCTGGAAAAACACAATGTTCCCCTTCCCCAATTTCCCAACACTGTTGCCTTCCTCAATTCCCCAATAAAATCTTTAAAAAAGAAGAAGAGGTGGCTGGAACAGAATAGAAAAGTGGGGTAACCAGGGGCTAAATCATGTATGTCTTTATAAAACAAAGTAAGCAGTCAGGCTTTCACTCTGAGTGACAAGGGACCACTGGAGAGAGGAGTATTGAGTAGAGGAAGGACATGATCTGACTTAGATTTTAACAAGATCCCTCTGGCTGCTGTGTTGAGAATAACTGTTGGGGGCAAGGGCAGAAGTAGAGGGACCTTATAGGAGGCCATTGCAATAGTCCTGGCCAGGGTATTGGTAGCATGTTATACAGAAGTAGGAGTGGAGATGGTGAGGAGTGGTCAGATTCAGGTGGTCAGGTGGAACAGACAGGGTTTGCAATCAGAACAGATATGGGGGTGAGACAGAAGTCAAGGAGGAGCAGATGAGTAAATGGAACTAGTTATTTCTGTCAACCTTAAAAATAAAGTAAAATTACCAGCAAAAATGAGTTTATTCAGGAATAGCAGAGGAATTGAAATTTGGGACAGGCAAACTATGGTGACACAGGCAAGTCTGGAGAACAAAGTAAAGACACGTTCTTTTACGGAAAAAAGAAGGAATTTGGGAGGGGCGGTTATATGCAAAAGTCCATTGGAGGAGAGCAAAAGTTTAGGGTGGCGGTGGTTTCTCATTGGTTGAGCTGTTGCCGGGCAAGGCGAAAACCTTCCTTCCTCCTGCTAGGGTAGTAAAGAAAGCTTCTTCGTGCCCAAATTTGTAAAGCAATCTGTGATAGATAGCAGCTTCTGAGAATTCTCCCTTCAGGGCTTCCCCACCCCACTTTGAATGAGGTTTTCCTGTATTCATTTTCATACCTTAATGCAGAACAGTGGAGAAAGGGTAGGTTTAGAGAGGAAGTCAGCTTTGGACACACAAAGTTGCCAATTAGACATCCAACTAGAGAAGGTTGAGGAGGCTATTGTTCGTATGGGTCCAGAGTTCACAAAACTGATCAAAGCTGCAAATACTCAGATTTGGTCTGATGTACAGAGGCATTGAAAGCTATGAGCCTGAATGGGACCATCTGAACGCTTTGGACAGAGTCCCAGCTCCAGGAACTGTGAAGGTGGGGATGGGGGGAGAGTTGGCAGTAGATGCTGTAACGGGGCTATGAGCGCTCCATAAGGCACACAACTGCCTCAACGCGGAAAGGACCGGGTCTTAAAGGAGCTTGTCAGGAGTTTGGGTGGACAACTTTCCTGACAGAGGGATCAGCAAAGACACGGGACTCAGGACAAGATACAACGATCCTGGAAACGGTGGAGGCCACAGCTGAAGTCAAGAGGGCCCCGCACGCCCATAGTGTCCTAGCGCCAGAAGGCACTTTGCCTCTCCCCTAAACGCCTCTCAGCCGGCCGAAGCTGGACCGCGCTAGACTAGGGCAAGGGGCACCACCGGGGCAACCTAGTCCGAGAAAAAGTGCTGAGCCGGCGGAGTCTCGCGAGAGCGCGGCCTCGCTGACCCAGCATGCCTCGCGCCGCCGCCGCTGCCGCCGCCGCCGCCGCCGCGCCGCGGCTTGAGGGCGGGAGGCTGGGGGAGGGTAGCGGAGCCGGCGCCGCCGCCATGTTGGGTCTGAGGCGGCTGCTGTAGGCACCGACGGAGCGAGCGGGCGTGCGGAGCGGCAACCGCGGCGTGGGATCTGCCTGTCTGCAAGCGGCCGGGAACGGCGGCGGCGGCGGCGCCATGAGCGGGGGCACCCCTTACATCGGCAGCAAGATCAGCCTCATCTCCAAGGCGGAGATCCGCTACGAGGGCATCCTCTACACCATCGACACCGAGAACTCCACCGTAGCCCTCGCCAAAGGTACTCCAGGGTGCGGCTCCGGGCCGGACACCGGCTCGGGACTGAGCTGGGTTCTCGGGTCGCGGCCCCCTCGCTCCCTCCCTGCCCCCTCCGCCGTCTTCCGGGAGGCCGCTCCCTTCTCTCCCTCCGGGCCCCGGCGTCGCGGGCTGGGCCGCAGCCTTCCCCCAGGGCTCCCTGGCTTTTACCGCCGAGGTCCGCGCCTTCCATCCGGGAACTACAGGACCGAGAGCGGGGCGGGCGGGCGGGGCGGCCCCGAGGTCCCAGAACGGGCAGGAGAACACTGAGATTCGTCTCTTCCAACTCCGAAATTCGGTGGCTCTGTCGTCTCACCACAAAACAAAGCCTGAGTAGTCAAAGAATCTTTCCGCCTCGCTTGAGTTTAGTGCTGATTTGTTGATTCTACAGTACAATTTGCTCTCATTCTCAATTTCCGTTTGTGGCGATATTCCTCAGGTGCACTATAAGTAATGTGCCAAAACTTTGGGTTTGCTCTGCGACGCAGACGGTATCCGAGCAGATCGTATGCCTCTTGTCTTGTATGTGGTATTTACCTGTTAAACCGGAATGTATTCTCAAAGCCTGTTGTGCAACCATCTTTTTTTTTTTTTAAATGCTTGATGCACTCACATCGACCCTGTTTCTGGAAAGCCGGCGGGGAGGAAGGTTCCAGCTTGATCCAGGACCCTTGTTCCAAAGGCAGATCTGAGTTGGTCTCTGGACCCTGACGGACTGACCCTTGGGAAGGCTCGCTGGAACTGGGAGTTCTAGATGTCGAGGAGGAAGGTGTCTTATCCATAATATTTAGCATCGCCACAGCCTGTGTGCGTTTTGTTTCCGTTCCACACGTGCTGGGCTTGCTTTCCGCCAGGAAACTGGGAGGAAAATAAACTTTAGCTCCTGATCCTAAAAGAAATCTCACAAGTTTGGAATACTTACGAGAGGGAGGCAAGATAACTAAGGTAATTTTCCCAGCACATATGGTAGACTTATGGGATAAATAGCATGGTCGGGACAGAGGTCCAGGGATAAGAAGAAATTTTATAAATCTGTAAAAAAAAAAAAAAGTAATAATAATAATAGTCTTTAATTGGTAGAAGAGTCATTTTACAGTATCAAGCATGTATTTAAATGACTTTTTTGGATGCCCTGGTAGATCCTTTTTAATAGCACTCACGTTGGGACAAATTTTATACCTGGTTAGGGAGTCTTACTTATTTTGTCTTAGTTTCCCTTTTTTCCCCCAGATGGATATGTAGCTGTTTAGTTTTTATGATTTTATGAAATTATGAAAAAGGCTTTCTAAAGTTGTTGGTGAGAGCCACATACAAGTTGAAAACAGTATTTCTCATTAAAGAGGTTTAATAACTTTTTAAAAACCAGTTTTACCTAGTCTGAATTTTAAGGTGTCTTGTTAGCTACTGACTTATCAGTGAGTTGACTGTACTACCTTTACTCCTCACAAAGAAAAAAATCCATACATTTTTTTAAAGATATTAACTTCAATCTTGTAAAAATCTATAAATATACTCTTCTATGCAAGAACCTAAAAAAATCTCTTTTGTTAATGACCCACCGTTTTAAAAAAGTCTTTTCAACAGCTTCTAGAGTTGATCTTATTAGTCTGTAATAGTTAAATTCATGTCAAACATAATTTGTTCCTTATGTCATGACTTGATAAATATACAAGTACAGCAATGTAAAGATCTTTTTAATCATTGAATTTATATGGCTTTGATATTTAACCCATATACATAATATGTGCTTTTTCTTAAGCAGTATGAGTTAACGTGTAACAGGTTTGGAAATTTAATTGTTTGCAAAAACTGGAGTTATCAAATCTTAGTATATTATTCTACTTAGAAGTATCTAATCTAAAGCTGCTATATAACTGTCCAGTCAACACTGGGCACTTCAGGTTTCAAAATTAAAAGTGGGGTGTTTGATATTAAACATTTTAGAATTTACATATCTTGTTGATGAGTAATTTGATATCTGAAATTCCATATTTTTCCAAATTTAGGTGAAGAATGGCAGTCTAACATTAAAGCCAAAAGTTTAATCATGGAATTTCGAATATAGTATGTAAAGAGGTCCCGGTTACTCTTTTTAAACTAGATTGAGTTAATCTCTTTGAGTGACAGTCTTAGAATCCTCTTTAGAAGATTAGTTTTTTTAACCCCTTCTAGGGAGAGTATTTTCCTTTTTTTATTGTGAAATATCATCACACATGTTGAAAATATACATAGATAAAAATGAAATGTACTTGGAAACAAAGATCCTTGTGAATACCACTCAGGGCAAAACAGACGTTGCCAGCATCCCAAAAGCCTCCCACCCCCTGATTCTTCTCATTATGACTACTACCCAATTAGGCTAGATATAAACATTATTTGGACATTTATAGTTTTATCACTTAAGTTTACATCCCTAAATAATAGAGTTTAATTTTGTCCATTTTTTAACTTTATGTAAGTGGAATGAATCACTTGTATATATTTCATTTTGGCTTTTGTTGTGGCATAGTAGACCATTATAATATAACACAGGTTTATCTATTCTGCAGTTGTTTTGGATATTCTACAGTTAATGTTTACAGTTTGGGGCTATTATGAACAATACCTTTATGAAATTTGTGTTTAAGTGCACTGATACACATTTCTGTAGTTTTCTTGAGGGTGTATAGTTTGAATTGCAGGATCATGAGAAATGGGTGTCTTTATTAGGTAATGCCAAGCAGTTTTCCAAAGTGGTGGTTTACTAGTTTTTGTTCCAGTTATTAGTGTTTAAGAGTTCTAATTGTTCTACATCCCTCACCAACAATACTTAGTATCAGATAGTTTATTTAATTCTGGTCAATCTGGTGGATATGTATTGGTATCTGATTTTAATCTCCCTGATTACTAATGGGGTGAATACTTTTTCATATCTTGGTCATTTGGATTTCATCTTTCTTGAAGTGCCCTTGAAATATTCTACCCATTTTTCTATTGAAATGTGTGTCTTTTTCTAGAGTTGGTCTTCTGAATGTGAATCACTTGCTGGATGTTGCAATTACAGTACCTTTTCTTATTTAGTGGTTTCTTTTGGTGAAAAGCAATTCTTCGTTTTAATGTAGATATCTTTATCACTTTTTCTTTATGGCTAGTTTTTTTTCTTTTAAGAATTTTTCCTTACCCCAAGGTCATGGAGAGTCTTTGATTGTATTTTCAAAACTGTTTTGTTTTGCCTTTTCACATTTAGGGGTGTAATGCACCTGAAATTAATTTTATGTGTGGTGCGAGGTATTTAAATCTTTAAATTTAGTAAGGAATTCACTTGGTTTATATGGTACAGATTATAATTTAGGCCTTTACTTGGATGTTACTTACAATTTAAATCAGTTGAAACTATTATATAAAATACTCTTGAAATTTTGAACTAGTTACATTTGATGTGGTATATAATTAGGGTGACCATATGGCCTGGTTTGCCCTGGTGGGAAGTCCTTGTTTATACCTGTGGTTCTGGCATAATTATTAAAACATTTTTTCTCTTTTGAAAGTGTTTCAGTTTGGGTAATCAGTTGTATGGTCACACTATATATAATCAAAAGCCCAATCCCAAGGGTATTGCTAAATGAGTGAGGTCCTTTTTTTCTGCTAGAGAGGTCACAGGTTAGCTCTTAATTCTGTAAAAGTGAAAGTTAGGTAAATTTGATGGACTTTGACATTCAGCATCTTCTAAATGAATGTCAAGAAGTCTTAAAGGCAACCTAGAAATACTTTGATGTCAGTCTGTTAAGTATGTTAATAGATAATCTGAATTGTATGAATAGTTTGTCTTCGTCACAGCTCTGAGTTTTTTTATTCCTAGCACTCATGACCTACATGTAATCATAATCTTCATAATCTTTGTTGCTTATTTGCATGTGTTTATTGTCTGTGTTCACCTTCCCTGCCCCTATAGAGTCAGCTCCTGGGATAAAGAAATGTTTATTTAATGAATGAGTAAACGGAAATTATTTAGCAATTTAATTCATTAATCTTATAGAAATCTCTTGGGAATGTCTCCAAATAATGTTTTTCCATGTTCACAATTATATTTCTCTTTAAGATACCTAACATGTTGCCTGCCAAAAACAGTAAGAGGTATTCGGAGAATGGGGATACAAGAGGATAAAATCTTAAGACTAAATTGATATTGTTGTGGGGGAGGGGGCAGTTTTACCTTGTGGCTCCAGGTCAATTATAATTTTAATTTAAAGTGTAAAGGAAGAATTAGTTCAGGATATTTGAGAGAATTGCAAAGTTGTGAGATGCATGAATGGCTCATGGAATATTTCTAATTATGTATGTGACTATGATGCCCAAGCACATACTAGGTCCTAGATACCTAGAGATTCCCCACATGGAAGCTTCATGAAGGCAGGATTTTTGTCTCATTCATTGCTCTATCCTCAGTGCTTAGAACAGTGTCTGGCACATAGCAGGTCCTTGGTAACATTTCAATAGATGAAAGGATAGTTGTAGTTTCTGAAAGTTTCTAATTATGGGAATTTCAGAATTAGAGGAAATGCACATTTCCTCCTATAAGCATTATATAGAAAAATTTTAACAGTACTTAAATAAAATGTGCTAAAATGAATGAAATTCCTATCCACCATATTTACTTAGCTGTACCTGGATAATACACTATTCAAATGAAAACCTGGTTGCCACTGCGTTAAGAAAAGAGACTTTGTGAAGGAGAATGATTCTGTAACCCAGCTGCTTTTAAAATGATTTGCCCTTAAAAATCAAGGGATTGGTGGAAGAATATAAAAATAGGTAAACTTGTAGTAATGGAATATTTCCTTAATCACCTGCTAAGTCTTGCCCATTGGCATAGCTTATCCACTTCTTGATTGTTAATTAGCCACATAGTCATAAATTCCAGTGCGAGTGGGAGAGCTTTATATGATGATGAAATACCTGTAAAGTGCTTTATTCATTTCTTGCACTCTCACATGAGTTGGGGACCCT